TTTTTTTTTTTTAATCTCCTCACTGCAGAATTCAGGCTGATAGAATAGACACTCTAGGTCTAGGATATTGTTAGTTATCAAGGCAATGGGAAATACGTTTTGTAGGGGTTAGCTCTGCAATTAAATGATGTTGTTGGAAGCCCTACAAGTCCCTTCCTCTGGCTGATGGCATGTCCCTACCACTCCCAAAGAAGTCAGAAGTTCAATCCTACCTATATCAAGAAGGTAGAGAGCAATAAGTACATGATAGACAGCACTAATTACAACTATTGGTGCAATTATTCAATGTATTTTCTTTTTAGGAAAATAGATATCTATATATATATATAAAAGCCTAATATGCTAAGTGTCCGACCGTTCGACCATTCAACCAGTTGCTATCATGTGCACTGACCACCAGGGGGCAGGTGCTTCGACCCCGTAGGTTAGATTGCTGCTGGGGTCCGGCCAATTGTGACTGGGCAAGACGGTCCGGACATGCCCTGAAGCCTTCCCGCAGTCTCTCTCCTGTCCCAATCGTGCACTGGGGGGGTCCCTCAGCCTTCCCTGTGCCTACTCACAATCCAGGACCCCTTGGGGGATGTCGGAGAGCTGATTTTGGCCTGATCCCCGCAGACCAGGCCAAGGGACCCCACTAGTGCACAAATCCATGCACTGGGCCTCTAGTATTAAAATAAAAAACTTTTAATGAAGCTAATATTGTGTTATCTATCTATATATATAAAAGCCTAAGTGACCAAACAACCGAACAACCAGTCGACCAGTCGGTATGATGCACACTGACTACCAGGGGGCAGACACTCAATGCAGGAGCTGCCCCCTGGTGGTCAGTGCACTCCTATAGCCAACCTCCTGCGGCCAGCCAACCTTCTGCCGTCCCTCCCCACAGGCAGCCAATCCCGATTGGGACTGGGTCAAGATGGCCCCAATCGGCCCCAATGAGCCCTGATTGCCAGCCAGGCCAAGGGACCCCACCCATGCACGAATTCATGCACCAGGTGTCTAGTCTTCTAATAAAAGAATTTTGTCATCATCATAAAAAAAAATGATGCTGATCAATGTGACTTGCCAAGACATCTGAATCATCAGTTTGGTTCTTTGAGACCCCAGGGGCCACTGTACCTGGGCCCAGGTAATTCCTCCATGCTGACATACACTCTACCCACCAAGCTGGAAGAGAGGCCAGCACTTCCTAAGGCCACTGCACTGAACATCAATACCAAAGAGCCAGGAAGGAGGACGATTGAATTGTTCCCTCTGCCCACATTTATCACAGCTCCCCAAGATGCTCTAGTCTCCCTCAAGGAGCAAAATATGTTCCTTTCATTCTGCAGTGGCTTCCTGCCTCCACTCAGTTAAGAAGGCTCGGGATACAGGTAACATGTTTAATTATGATAAAAGCTCTGGAGTCAGGTAAAGGCTTTAATGTGCTTCTCTTGATAGTGGGGGGTGGGTAAGGGAAGGGGGAGCATAGGAGGAGCAAAAGAAAAATGCCTTGGGGGTCTTGAGTAGACTCAGCTGGCAGCCCACAGGACAGAGTCCAAGGGCACAGCCATGGCCTCGGGAGGGGCTGGTGAGGGGGGTGTCACAGGAGATGCCTGGCCAACTGCATCAGAGTAACTAGGACTGTGATCTCAGAGGGAGCAGGTTCACAGGAAGCTGGGAAGTCTGCGCAAGGACAACAAGCAGGCATTTCAGAGGAAACACAGCCAATTCCAGTCAAAGTACGCTCAGGAGTCAGCGCAGGAGCCCTGTAGAAAGGAGAGTGATCAGCACCCGGCACCTGGGGGCATACCCTGTCCCCTCCTCTCGGGGCCCTGCAGCATCAGGTAAAGCTGAGGTCTGGGCATAAGGTCATCACCTCCCCCAGTATCGGTGTTGGTGAAATCAGCTGAAGAGGACATGCACTTCAGCCTCACGCAGACATGCAGGAGGCGGGAGAACAGCTGTTATCCTTGGGGGAAATGAGCATTTCATCTTTTTAGCAAATTTAATGAAACTAGCCCTCTGTCTACCACTAGGAATCACTTATAAATGCCCACAGGCAGGAGCCACCAGCATGTGGAACAAAATGAGCATCATCCCCGTGTTTACCACCCAAGACGTGGCTCTGGCTCCACGTTTCACAAAAAGATTCACCAAAGTTAAACCCTGGTTCTGGATAACAAGCCCGGAGCTTCCTTCAGAAACTGGGCTAGCTTCTCCCCTAACTCTTTATCCCCTGGCAGGGAATAGGCGATGAACTGAGACTTTTATGACCAGGAACACTCACCTCCCACCCCTCCCTCTTTTTCCTGTCCTCACACCACCACCCCCATTAAATCAGAGCAGAGACAGCACCTGGGGGGAGGCCCATGAGATCCTACAAAAGGACTTTACACAGAGAAAGGTCTCATCACACAAACAGCCAGTCCCTCTCCCACCCGCAGGAAATGAGATAAGCAATTTAATTGGAAATCTATTTCCTCCCTACCCATCAGCCACAAGGCCTTACCCCTAAGCTACATTCCCCAAATGAGTGGACCTGTCACTAGAAGGAAGGGAAGCCAATGAGCTGACCTTCTTAAAGAAGCAGCTTTTGGAAAGGGGCCAGCGCGAAAGTGATGAGCTCTCAGCCCCAGGACACTTGCCACAGTCACACCTGTGGCAGGGCTGCCTTTCAACCAGTAAAATCCAGTCCAAAGACTCGCCTAGCTGTCTGTCTCCTCCCACCACCAGCCTGGCTGCCTGCCTTCCAGGTCAGGAGGAGAGTTACACCTAGAAGCAGAGGCCCCCTCAACAGAGGGTCCCGGGCACAGCCCACCTTCCCGTTTCCCCAGTTGCTTACCCTTCTGTTTCCTGTGACGGATGACAAGGCCCAGGCCCAGGAAGATCAGCCCCAGCACGAAGCCCCCGATGCCGCTCAGCATCTTGCTCTGGGCGGATCCAGACTGTGCCCCTGGGGAGCAGAGCCTGGGTGTCAGCTTCTGTCCCAAACCCACAGGGGCCCTTTGGAAGCCTCCACCCCTGGGGGGACCAGCCAGTAAATCCTTGGACACCGAGGGTGGGTGACAGGGGAAGTGGATCCTGCTCCTTCACATATATCTTTAGCCTTGGACCCCAAGCCCTGTCACTAGCCGCCACAGTCAGCCTTCAGAGCCCTCAGGCTGGGTTCTGGCTGTCGTGTAGAGTGACCTCCCTAGTGTCTGAAAACACCATGAGATCTGATGCCCCTGCCACGGCACCAGAGGGCTCTAGCATCCTGTGATGTCCACTCAGCAGTGACATCAGCAATAGGGATGCGATGGGATGGTTAGAGGACGCTGTTTTCCCTCTGTCTGTGGGGCCCAGGATGCAGGAAAGAAACTGCCCCTTACGCCACTCCACTGCGATGGGGCTCTGCAGGCTGGGGTGCTCCACGCGGCAGGTGTAGATGTCTCCTCGCTGGGGGGTCATTTCCAGCATCACCAGGATCTGGTAGGTCCAGTCCCCATTCCTAATCACGGGGGTGGACACGACACCGGCTGTCTCCTCCTGGTCGTTCCGGAACCATCGGACTTTGATGTGGGCTGGATAGAAATCCGTCACCGAGCAGACCAGCATGTTGTGGTGGGTTAGGGCCTCTGTCTTGGCCGGGGAGATGGTCACTGTGGGCTCCACTGGGAGGGGAGGGGAAACAGAGAGGAAAATAGAGTGGGAGATGTGGGGGCACAGGCAAGTCTCCCCACGGGGAGGATCCTCCATGAACCAGCACGAAAGATCCCTGGATTTCAAGTCCAAGATGAGAACTGAGCTGGGCCACTTGATTAGCTCGAGTAAATTCATGAGTCAGTTAACTTTTCAGGGTCAAGAGCTAACAGCAATCATTTTATGGGAGATATTCTGTTGATACCAACTGATAAAAATGAAGCCTTTAAATGTTTAAATTGCTAGGTTATACAGGCCACAATTCACAATGTTTTTAAATAAAGATGATAAACCTGGACTTCTTTTCCCTCCACCTGTTGATGGTGACCCTGGGGATCCTCTCTAGGGACTCACACCAGGGCAGTGACCCTGTTTCCTGTTGGTCCCACAGCTCCTCACAGTGGAGAAAATACATCAGTTTGAGTCTCCGGGGGCATGAGCCCATCAGCACTGGTCACAGCTCCATGAACAGTAACACGGACTGAAAATTAGGAATGTTACAGACAGTTCTATGTCCAACAGAGCAGGACAGCAGTGACATCACATCCTTCCTCCGAAGCAATGCTCTCAAACAGGCTCTTCCCTACCATTCTCAGCGGGAAACACGGACAGGATTTAAGGGCAGGAGCACTTCTCACATGTCACCCATCAACAAACCCCTCTCAGCTGTTAGCCTAACTGGCTCAGATGCCATTCTGTGTCAAACTCCCATTAAATTGTATATCTACACTAATAAAAGAGAAACATGGTAATTAGCGTACGACCGCTACCCTTTTCATTGGCTAATCAGTGAGTATATGCAAAGGACACTTGCCACAGTCACACCTGTGGCAGGGCTGCCTTTCAACCAGTAAAATCCAGTCCAAAGACTCGCCTAGCTGTCTGTCTCCTCCCACCACCAGCCTGGCTGCCTGCCTTCCAGGTCAGGAGGAGAGTTACACCTAGAAGCAGAGGCCCCCTCAACAGAGGGTCCCGGGCACAGCCCACCTTCCCGTTTCCCCAGTTGCTTACCCTTCTGTTTCCTGTGACGGATGACAAGGCCCAGGCCCAGGAAGATCAGCCCCAGCACGAAGCCCCCGATGCCGCTCAGCATCTTGCTCTGGCGGATCCAACTGTGCCCCTGGGGAGCAGAACCTGGGTGTCAGCTTCTGTCCCAAACCCACAGGGGCCCTTTGGGAGCCTCCACCCCTGGGGCGGGACCAGCCAGTAAACCCTTGGACACCGTGGGTGGTGACAGGGGGAAGTGGGTCCTTCTCCTTCACAGGCGTCCTTAACCCTGGGCCTCAAGCCCCATCACCAGCCGCCACAGTCAGCCCTCCAGAGCTGCCAGGCTGGGTTCTGGCTGTGATGTAGCATGACCTCCCTAGTGTCTGGAAACACAATGAGATCTGATGCCCCTGCCATGGCACCAGAGGGCTCTAGCATCCTGTGATGTGCACTCAGCAGTGACATCAGGGGTAGGGATGCGATGGGACAGCCAGGGGCCACTGTTTGCCCTCTGTCTGTGGGGATCAGGGTGCAGGAAAGAAACGGCCCCTTACGCCACTCCACTGCGATGGGGCTCTGGAGGCTGGGGTGCTCCACGCGGCAGGTGTAGACGTCTCCTCGCTGGGGCGTCATTTCCAGCATCACCAGGATCTGGTAGGTCCAGTCCCCGTTCCTAATCAGGGGGGTGGACACGACGCCGGCTGTCTCCTCCTGGTCGTTCCGGAACCAGCGGACTTTGATGTGGGCTGGATAGAAATCCGTCACCGAGCAGACCAGCATGTTGTGGTGG